GAGCCTGCTACAGTAGTGCCCTGTGCGAGGCCTTCTGTCGTTCTGGAGGAAGTGTGAGATGTAGCATCATGACCATATCTTCCGTATAAGGTAGCCACAGTCCTCAGTATGTCTTTTGTTAATAAAATATCACAGAAACAAAAGAGACTGTCCAACTGCTGTGTTCTTTTAGAGCTGCTCTGAGAGTCGATTCACACACTTCTCATTTGAGAAATCTACTGTCATACACATTAAAACTCAAAAGATCTTTATGACAAACTGCCAAAAATAAAAGTTTGGTTTAACTTTAAGAAATTTGTACAGAAATATATTACTATTGAATACGAAATTGTACCGTATTGGCCCGAATATAAGACGACCGCGTTTTTTCAGATGTATTTCCAAGAAAAAAATATCGTCTTATATTCGGGACAATACGGTACTTCTCACTGTTACAATATTATTTTTAAGAAATGTCATACAACCAAGATATTTTTCATCTGTTTTCATTTATACAGTTTTGTTGTGCGCAGCATCTTTGCAAACATTGCATCTATACAAAATATGTTTTACATCTATGTTTTAAAAATAAAATAGTTTTGTTGTAAATTAATTTCCCAGTAATAGTAAATGAATATTGTGATAAATGTCAATATGGTGTTATATGAACAAAAGAAAAGAAAAAAAAGATAACATTTTTGGCCATGTTATTGTTCCTCCTTTCTTCAAAACAAGAATATTCTTCAAAATTAAGAATTTTGAGTGCGTTACACACCGTAAACCTATGGCAATATATAAGCAAAATTATGCCTTCTTTTAATGATTAACCTACAAAAATGGTTATGAATGTAATAAATTGGTCAAACAAGCCCAATTGTAGTCTTAGACATTCTAGAGGAGTCTGGTGCATCAACACTCTTGTTTCACATTTATGCTATCATAAAACACAGTGACATATATGATTGATTAAAAATCGCCTTTAAAGATCTGTTAATTGTAGCCAACTCATGCACCAAGAGGTAAAAATGTTTACGAGACATGTTCTGACGAGGTATTGCATTGGCGGCATATATACAGGTCACCCAAGTGAGCTTGGCTCGTGTCATTTCCCGATCCCAACCCCCTCATCTCTCTTAAGATTTCCTGTCTCATCTCTCAATGTCACAGTATATAGAAATGCCACAAAGGTCAAAAATAAAAATATGTAAAAACTTTTTAAAAGACTTGGTGTGCATTTTTTATGTGGTTTGTGTATTTTTTATTTATTTTTTTTAAATCATGTATAAGCATTGAGAATAATTGGTTACCGGTTAAGTTGGCATGAAAAGAAAATAAATTTTCTACTATTTTCTAAATGCATGTGATTTATCATATCACAAACTATTTATCCATGCATTTGTTTTTATAATTTTTTTCTTTTTTTAAATCAGGTGATAAGTAGGGTTGGGCCGATAGACGATGCCATCGTCCATCGCCGATGGCTGACAGACCTCACGATGTTAAGCTGACATCGTGATTCCTACAACCCCACCACTCCCTCTCCCGCAATCCGCCGCATCCCAGTTCCGTGTTCGGATTATGATTTAAATGGGGATGATTGTACTGAGAATAACTTTCATCTTTTCTTCAACTGAATACTGTTTCCGTGCTGTTTTGATGTATTTTAAAGAGTTGGCAGTCAAAATTAAAACTGCTGGATGATAGATACTCTTCATTCTTTATGACAAATAAGATAATGTGAATTACAGAATGTACAACGTTTTTAAAATGTATCAATTGCGGTGTACAGTGTTTATTATGATGGGGTAGAATCCACAGCTCAGTACTCACTACTCAATACTCATGAGTACTTTTAAATAGGCTACTCTTTTACTCTTACTCAAGTAGTTTTTTGGACAAGTACTTTTACTCTACTCACACTACATTTTTTGGAAGGTAATGGTACTTTTACTTGAGTATATTTTTTCAGTACTCTTTCCACCACTGCCCGCCCCCCGATGTCATCGTCCATCACGATGTTTCACTGTAGACATCGTCCGATGCGAATTTGGTAGACATCGCCCAACCCTAGTGATAAGCTTCATCTGATTCCAGTCAACAACTAATGCAACTAAGTCCCTATTTTTTGTCATAATGCATTGCACTCGGATATACATCATAATACGTCTGTATGTTCTTTAGACAAAACGTGTTCTTGCATTGTCTGCACAATTGTTTAATGGCTGGTTTATAAAGACGATGAAAGCCACAATGCGTCTTTTTTCCCACTAGTCATTCTTAGCCTGTGTTTAGGGCTGCACGATTAATCGAAATTATATCGCAAAGGCGATAAATCGCGATTAGGCAGAAGCTGTGATTGTCATGCGTATCTTTCAGAGAAGCACAGTTCTGTGATCAGCAGTAAATCGGGCAGACGGTGCTCTTACGCTGAAACTCCAAATATGCCCCGAAGAAAAAATCCAGGAAAGGCCTTTGCAGCTGAATAAACTGAGGATTTAACTGCTTTCATTGATTCAACGTGACTAATAAACGCATGACTACGACAATATATGGTTTATCTGAGTTCTCCTTATTATCATTTTTATTATAATAAAGTATATAATAATGCAATGCTAATCGACATAGCCTTTATCACTGCTTAGAATACTATGAAATATGTTGCGTGCCTTATTCTGTGTAAGAAGCCACATCATCTCACAGAGGGATTTATTTAAAACACTCAACTGACGTTATGAAGTGAGTTTGGAGTAAAAACATGTTATTAAATGTGGTATTTTCATGTGCTTTCAGATGGAACAGCATTTACTACACAGAGCCGTAGTTCACTGACAAGCTACGCAAACAGCTTTCATAATCGCAGAACGATTTCATAATCACGCGATTATATCGTCTGCGATTATGAACACGATTTTGCGTAGCTTGTCAGTGAACTATGGCTCTGTGTAGTAAGTGCTGCTCCATCTGAAAGCATGTGATGAAGATTTACTACTAATCACAGAACCGGCTTTACTGACCAGATACGCATGACAATCACATTCGATTAATCGTGCAGCCCTACCTGTGTTAATGCTGTGTTAAAAGTTTTGACATGCAGCACAGCAGATTATTGTCAGTTTTAGTAACAGTGGTCCTATCAGATGAAGGGATAAGATTATTTACATATTGACAGATGTGTATTAGAAATGGTGAATGGGGGTTAAAATGTCTAGAAATGTCTTCCGTACCGTGGGCTATCGAAAAGATCCTGGTGTTAGGTGAGTGGTGTTGAGAGACAGCATTTGTAGCATGTGATTGGTGTAAAACCTTTTGTGCTTTACACTGTATTATCAGGAAACAAAGGTCACATTTCTCCCTCAGTCAATCAGCCACACCCACCAACAGGAACTGCTTCCTGACCTCATTCCCCCATGATGTTCCACAGGCTTCAGGAGACCCCGTCCTCTACCGTTCACTATTGACTGCTAATATAAAAAATATAACAGGAAAAAATATATTAACAATCACGATAAAACGGAAGTCTGTTGTTTTCACCAGGAGGTCCAGTTATGACATTTTGATTAAACGTTATGAGGTCAAAATATTTGTAAAAATTGAAACCTATAAATACAGAAAACAAATAAATGAAATAATACTGTGATCAATTTATCCATGCATGTTATTTTAGTATCATTGAGATACTATTATATATAAAATATTATTTTATAGTTTTTATTTTTTATTTCAGTTTTAGTTACTTTAGTAAGTCAATTTAAACTAAATGAAAATGAGTAACTAGCTTAGTAACTAGCTGAAATTTTTTATTTTTTTTCCCAAGTAACAATATTTTTTAAATGATTTTCGTTAACTGTAATAACCTTGATTTTCAGATTCTGCAACAGGCTTTTTCAGGTCATACCCCTTGTCTGTCGACAAGGTTGTTTGACTATTTTGGAACTGACATGAGTGGAAATATCACTACTGTTTGTCAATTAGTCAATCTGTTCATGTTAATGATCTTATGGCCAGACACTGACCATATGTATCAGTCTATACTACTGTATGTACTATTACAATCAAGTACAGAGTCTCCCTTGCAAGAACCCTTGCCACAGCATTTTGCACCAGCCCAGATTGTTATGAAGCTATTTAATTGATATGCAGGTCTAAATGTGCTTATCTGGGTGTGAACAACATTACAGACTTAAGTACATTGTTTCTCACCCCCTGAGCAATGAGGGTTGTATTTTGCTTTTTTCTTGTCTTTTGACTCAATCCAACCCTAGTGTTTCTACTGTTTTAGTTGGGCCTCAGTTGTTTTCATTGGGAAAATGGCACAAAGACAGAATGTTCTTGCAATTCAGGTTTGTTTTAGAACCCGACGCAAGACAAGCCGAAACAGATAGCATATAAACCAGTGTGATGTGTTGACGATGATATGGAGTTTGCTGTGTGAAATAGGATGAGTAATGCGCTCTGAGTGGGGATTTATTCTGGTTCTTTCCACATTTACGATAGTGAACCCATCTGGTACGTGTTCTGTCAAATCGAGCTTGTCACACTTTGAACTCACTTTGATTTTTCAGCAGAGCTCTTTGAGATGGATTTCATCATTGTTCTGTGTGCCAACCACTTTGAAATCATGTAAACGTTTGGCAGTTTTAGCAGTTAACTGTGTCATATTGAAGTGCCACTGTTCTGCTCAGGTAATTTATTGACTTTTAGTGCAACCGTTGCAGCACTTGTCAGGTTTTACGATTATATTTAAACTAGGTAGTGGATTAAGACACTCTTTAAACACTGTAAAACTGCTATTTACACTGAGATGTTGTTGTAATATCAATGGATTACAGATTGCAGTGCAGATCTACTTAAAAATGTTAGTCTTTTTGCAGATCTGCTTAACAATGTTAGTATGAATGCATGGCATTTTAACCATTTCTGATGGTGTTTCCTGTATATGGCTCATATCTGTTCAGTGAAAGCACAGTGTTCATGTCATGTGATTGCTTCATTCATCATTCTCGTCCTGTTCTTCTCTACAGATATGTTCAAACGGGTTGTACGACAGAGTAAGTTCCGGCATGTGTTCGGCCAGGCGGTGAAGAATGACCAGTGCTATGACGACATCAGGGTGTCCCGGGTCACGTGGGATAGTGCATTCTGCGCTGTCAATCCCAAATTTGTTGCCATAATTGTGGAAGCTAGCGGAGGAGGAGCGTTCATGGTTTTGCCTCTGCATAAGGTGAGAGATCTGTAAAATTACACTGTGCTTATGTGGAATTCTTGGTATATATCCATTGCATCTTATATTTGCTTGCTTTAAATGGTTAGTCAAATTCTGGTTTGGAAGGATTAAAAAAATTATGTTATGGAGACAACCCTCTACACACACCTTGGCAATATATTCGTCATCGGATAGTAAATTATATATATAGATTCCACCAAATCAGCTTATCTTTGTAAAATGGCTCAGCTTCTTAAATCTGAGCTTCTTAATCAGTCAATCAAGCATTATATTATGATTTAGAACTTGTATATAGTATTAATTGTATTAATTATAGTATTGTATATAGCCAATGAGATTGCCGTTTGTGCATTAGCTTCGCCCACTTCCAGAGAAACCCCCATATCATCTGCTTGTTCTTAAAAGCTGAAGAATTCTAAATAAACTCCTTTATTTTGACAGGAAAGTGCAACAAAGAATATAATTTACTTGTAGCACGTCAATTCAGCGTGGTATGTAAGACTCTCGCTCTCTCTTTTTGCATGTGTGAGAAACAGCACTATCAGCAAAGCGACGGCGAGTCGTGCACCTTTACACTAGAGTTTACGGTACGTCAAATACAGGTACGCTGCGCATCCATTGAGCTGAACTGAAATAGTACAGATCGCTTGACGGAGAGTGAAATTCTCAAGCGCTCAGTGTTCAGTGAGTAAATATATCTGTGCTAAACTTGTGATAAGCATCTAACACACACACTGTCGAGTACGATCTTAGAATTTATTAGCCAATGGCTAATGATAGACATTATTTAGTCGCCCAGAGCGAAGATTTAGTTGCAAATGCGTGTGATTTACTCGCAATGTAGAGGGGTGGGAGAGAAACAGGTGATGGGATGGTTTTTGTTTTAATGTTGTGTCCTTGCTAGACTGGTTGTCAAGCTGTAATTAGGGGAAAAAAGGTTAAACATTTGATAATCAGATTGTGAACAAATCTTTTGAGTTTGTCATTTTCAGTGAACCATTTGATCCAGTCTAAAATTCTCACTGATTCGTTCACAAATATTTGATTTGGTGATTTGGTTCTTACGAACTCATTTGAGGGAGCTTATCAGCGAATAACGACTTTTTCAGACTCTTTTTCACACAAAGGTCGACTGAAATAGATATTTTATAGTCCATTTTGAGTCTTCACTAGATCTGGTCACTTTGAAAAAAAAGGGGCAAGAAGATTCATAAAAATTTCTTCTTGTTGAATTCCATGGAGTAAAAAACATTATCCAGGTTTTGAACCAGTAAATATTTCCGTTGAACTATTCCTTAAAAGTTTGAGAAGAACATTGCTTTAGCAGAAGAGAAGTCTTAAACCTACAAGAAGCTGAGGAAATATTATGTCCTAACTGTGGACAAGAAGCCAAGCCATGAAATGGATTTGTGGGCTGTTTCTGCAAAATTGATCTTGGGTGAGGGATCTTCACTGCACCCTCCACTTAAGTGGTCTCAAACTGCAGCTTTGTCACGCTTTTGGTCTTTTTCCATGTTTGAATATATACACACTTAATGACAACCTTGCGTCTCTACAAATGGAGGTGATTATGACAGGTATGATTCATCAGACGTCTGCCTTGATCCGTTTGTGTCAGAGCTGTTAGTAGTGGAGGATACTCTGCTGGAAGTCTTTGAAATGTTGGTGAGCATGCTATGGCCACGTCGTGCTGAAACGTACTTGCTCTACTCCACTAAGAAAACATGTTAGATGTTTAAAATCACACATTATCCAGGCTGAATCTATATATAGAGTTGCAGCGAAATTTCGGCAACTGAAAATATTAAGCAGAAACAGTGAAAAAAATGTTTCCCATTTGTATATAACTTAGTTTTTTTATTTGAGGGTTAATTATTAGATTTGATTGATCAATTGATTGTTAAATGAAGTCATTTACAGTTTTGGTTTTCAGCAAAATGGAAAATTTAGGTTTTTGTCAAAATTTTGGTGCATCGCTACCAAAATGACAATAATCAACATAGCTGTGACAGTATTGGCATTTCCACCTCTGACTAAGCTGTTGAACTCAAAGTTATTTGTTAGCCAATGATGTAAGGATATCTTCTTTCCTAATGGCTTTCTGAGTTCAGATGTGATGACAAAAGTCGAATTTGCGAGTTGAATCTGCAGCGCACTGTCATTTGATACGTGCGACGGGACTGCCGTCTGCTTGTGTTACAAAGGTAGAGATTTGCTTCATCTGGATGGAGTGTGTGTGTCACCTAGTCTGCTATGTACATGGTTTAGTGGTTTAGCATTCGTGGGGTTTAGTGAGTCTGCATGTTTGTGCATGTTGAAGTCTGTGGTTCATTCTCTGATTTTTCCAGCTCATTTGAAGAAGTTGCTTAGACAGCAACGGAACTACCACATTCAAGGCCCAGAAAGGCAGTAAGGACATCGTTAAAATAGTCCATGTGATATCAGTGGTTCAACGTTAATTTTACAAAGCTACGAGAATACTTTTTGTGCGCAAAGAAATAAAAAATAACGACTTTATTCAGTCTTTGACTCGCGTTCACGAGAGTACCACGACGCATGCGTAAGCATGGGCCGATTACCGGTTTCAAGGTATACCGCGATTTGAAAATTTCACGGTTTCAAAACCACTAGTATTTTCCGTTATACCGTTCCTGCGGTATACACTGTTTTTCATGTCCCCTTAAAGACTGAAAGTGTAGGAATCCCTCAGGTTGAGTGCAGTGTAGAGAGTAACATGACCCTCCTCCTCCTGTTGGTGCGAGCGAGCGGTCAGTCACGTGTGTGTAGGATGGCCGAACTTAAGGAGCTGCCCCTGGAGTTTACATGATCGGCAACCGGCCGTTTTTTGTCTTATTGCAACTCGTCTCTGTTTGTTCTGGACTTGCACAAACTGCGTTGCAATGCAATAGTTTTCCAAAATGTCATTTATGTGAAAAAATGAAGTCTGTAAACGCCCATTAACACAGGCAAGAGACGTTGAAGACGGACGCACAGAGAAAAATACTGTAGCAGGCAGATCACTCACTGTTCATGATGCACAAACTATTGGAAGAAAATCCTCAATATTGATTTGGGGGTTTATATGAATGTGTTTCTGAGGGGAACTAACTGTCTTCATAAAAGTTTACGTGGTATTTTCTTTTCATCTCGTCTCTGTATAGTTCATATTAAAGCAGTGTTTCAGCGCAGCTGCTTTGTTTACACAGCGGTAACCAAGGAAACACTGTATCTGCTGTTCCAGGAGCGCCTCCTGCTGTCAGAGAGTGAA